CTGGCAACCGCACAATCCTCCACAGCTTTTCCTAGACGACTGTGATGCCTGACGCTGTATGGATATGTAAACGAGCCTGTCTTCCATTGATGCGGACAGTGATGTACTTACATCGTCAGTAAAAGTGGCGTTCCATCGCTTCGCAAAATAGCCCTAGGTTTTCTTTTGAGAATCATGAACTGGTCTGAAAGATAGCTTGGATCTACAGTGGCTTTCTTTGTGCACACGTCTGCGGCATTTTTGACAGATCTACTTGTTGAGTGGACACTATCTCACAAAACGCCAATCCCCATAGTACTAACAGGTTGATGGTAACTTATCTTGAGAAAGCTTCTTCAGATCAATGACTGCAATCGTGCATCTATAAATCTGCTGAAATGCGAAATCACTCGAAGTTGTCTGTCTACGAACATAATTTTATGGTGTTTCAATTTGATTTTCTGACCCTCTGCGATTAAGTTCACATTATGGCACCGTAGTCTCGCTCCCAAACCCCGAGTATTCTGGTTCGGATCTCCTCAAGAGACTGCACACTAATATCAGAAATTAATCTTGGGTAATCGATTTCAGCTTGAATTTCTGTTTATGTCGCTGTGCTGCATGAGTAGCACATTTTCAGACAATCTTACCGATTGTTGAAAACTGGTACCTGATCTCCGAACATCTTGAGTGGGGAAATTGTTTCAGCAGAGCTGAAAACTTGTGGACTCTTGTACAAAATGAACTGGATCTATCTGTCGTGCTCCACTGTTCCGGGGTTACGCAACACTATTGGTACTTTTGCTGGATCATCAGAATTTGCCAGCTCCCTCTTGGAACTACTTTCCTAACGCCTGAATCACGCAACATAGATCAACTCTGAATAAATATCAAAATGAATTCACTGATTATGCTTATTGCTACATCAGCAGAAGACTTCACAGCATTTTGTACGCTTATAAACTGGAGAAAGTGTTCGCGCGAGTCTTGATCATTCGCAGCTGTTCCATTTTGCATTACTGCTGCTGCAGCAGCAGCAGCAGCAAAATAACTTTTAGGCCTTCTGCTGCAATCGACCTCTTGATTGCTTACCTCCGTTGCCAAATCTTACCTCTCCGCTGACATTGTGGATGACCGATCCATACAGCTGGGTCATGTTGCAGCCACCACTAAAATCACCGTCCTTTTTAACCATTGTAACTTATTCCGTTTGATACATGACACGGCTATTAGAAAAGTTGAAACTAGCGAAACTTTACGCAACAAGATTGGACAGCGTACCCGCAACCTGTCAGAACATTTGGAGCTTTTAACCGAACATTTTGGTAAAACAATTTAACGGGCCAGAATCGTCACTTTTATCGCGGGAAGTTATCACCTTGCTTCTTGAGCAGTCCCTTTGAATCCGCCTTCTCGCTCAGAAGTCACGCGTGTGATCAGATTACGGAAGTTAAATAGGGCCGCAGGACAAGATAGACTTCCTCCTGCCCTATTCAGATTGTAAGCACCTGCTCTTACGGAAGACTTACACGATTTATCAGTAAAACCGTGGAGAAAAGAACAGTTCTATCCAACTGGATCAGTTTTCTTATTGTCCCGACCTTGGATGTGATTCACATTCGGAGCGCAGCAATCGGAGAAGAATCCGTTGCTTCCAAGTTACCTGCCTCTGTCTTTCTTCCCAGATTGTCTGGCGCTCGTGAAAGCCAGATTACTGAAGTGCAAGTTGAGTTTTATCGAAGTTGAAGCTGCATTGATCACACCTTTACTTTACGTTAGTTACTGCGGCACTGTCACATATATTTTCGACCCATCGACATCAAAGGTGCCCTTTGGGAATATCATTTTGGAAATATCTTTTGCAAGAAATACCCGATTAGTACAAGTGCTCTTTACATGCGTCGATCTGGCAGAGTGATGTCTTCTGTCAAGCTGTCACCGCCTTTCGACATCTCCGGTGGTGGGGAACAAGGATACCAGTTGTCACTGTTTTTCAACTTCACGATTGACGAAGTAATCGAGATGATGTGAGTTTCTACCAGACGAACGAATTTTTGACTTGAAGTATGCTGACGATATTAACCTCATTTGTAACAGCTCACAAACGTAACAACCAGTATTGGACAGATTGACGCTGACTGTCGTTCTGGGCTGTGCTTCGTACCCTACAAATACAATGCTTTCCTCCAAAATTGACAGGCCGCCCCATACGCTGACTCATACAACAACACAACTTTCTGAGCAGCTGCATCATCGCCTGTGTACTAGAAGATTTGGTCACCAACCTTCCAGAAAAACCTCGAGATTATTTTAACAATCTTCGGCATGCAAGGAGCCGGTGCGACATCACTCTCGCCTAGCAGTGTACAGTCTACAGTGCAACCGTCCTTTCAGTTCTCTTATATGATTGTGAAACCTGGTCCATCAGATCGACAGACGTAGAGGTTAGTTACCTTCGACCACCGGTGCCTCCGCAATTTAGCTGACATCTGATAGGACACTGGGTGCGCAGTGAGCTTGTTCGTCGCCTTGTTTATGGCGCTGAAAGAAGCATTAAAACGCTCATCAAGATTATTTCACGCACCAAGCTCAAGTGGCCGGACCACATTTTACGCATGCCAGCACACCGACTCACACCACTCGTGTTGTTTACGTGCCTTGTGAAGTTAACAGATCCATTGGTCAAGAAGAATGAATGCCCTGACTTCGAATTTGGAGTCGTTTGAAGTCCGAAGGACGATTAACACACGTTTGTTTGGTTATGCTTTTTGAAATGGCTAAAGACCGACTTCAATGACGATAGTGTTGTGAGTTTCTTCTTCTTCCATTCCGTTTAGCATCTCATTCCAACCACCATCTCGTTGTCAATGCACGACGCGTATGGAAGGATACGAATATTTTCCGTTTTGCTATTGTTGATATTTTTTGCCCTTTTATGTCATGTAGTTTACAAGTATTACGGTTCAATACATGAGATGTTTCTATCCCCCATCTGCCCTACACAGTGAAAAAATGATGGAGTGCTACCGCCAAATTTCTTCTTAACTCCATGGCTTGCCCCTACTAGAGCATTTACGATAATCTCCCATTATTCTTACCCCATAAGATCTGGCAGTTGTACTAAATCACCTGTGTCGTGATAATCCCACGAATTCACACATCTAGAACTCTGTATACATTAGTGGAGCTCTGTTCATGACTTTGGGTCATCGACTGTTTTTAACCTTTCGAGTGATTTGCTTTTTTCATATCTTGAACACCAACTGAATACACTTCCAAAAGCATCATACCTACTGTCTAGATGCTCTAACACTACGCGTTCAACACTCCTTTTCTCCCTGTTCTTGTCTATCCAAATCTTGGGATGTCAGCTTCTTCTTTTTATCTTCACGTTTTTATATTATTCTTAATTTAAATGACATTCTATTTCCGCTTCCCTTTTTGAGCTTTATTCGTTGCCCTGTTATCCCGCGACATTTGCACTTCGGAGTCCGCTGTTGCCTGGTTTTTGTTTGACTATGCTATGATTCATACTCTTCGTTTTAGGTCTCTCAAAAGTTCGGACAGGTCTTATCCGGTCTCACCGACCCGGTCTTCAGGGAAAACCCAAGAAGTCTTGTTCCGCTTCAACTTTCTCGCCAACTGTGAGATCTGGCCATGGATTTCGGATTGTCCTGGCGAGTGTCGCGGTGGGCCGTCTTCGGAAGTACTTTGCTGACTGTTAGCTTTATAGTGGGGCGTTTTCTGGATCCTTGGTTTTTGTTCTGTGCTCTTTCCCCACCAGATCTTTCCAAATTGTCTCGAATTCCTTCGCTCTTGATCTTCTGGTTGGTCAGTGATGAACACGTCACCCATTGGCTAAGTGTTTTGGCTATATTTATTCTTGATAAATTAGTCCGCGATTGCTGGAGTAAGCTAGAGACAGCGGTGTTTTTTCTCTCTGTGAACATATCTGCTGCAGTTTTCTCCCTTTGTTTATTGTACTGTATCAACCCCTCCTCATTGATGCCCATTTCTGGAAATGCTGCTATTATCGCTGCGGTGATTGTGGTTTCAACGCAGTTCGATCCGGAACGGCTTCTTTTGGGCTATGCCCGCGCTGGTTTGAAGTCACGCCATGGTTTTTTCACCGTGCTTTTACTTTTCTTCTTGTTTGCTATATGTCACGTAGTTTGGTGGTCTTCGTTTCTTTTGTACGTTGGCGGCTTCATGTTTTCTTGGTTATATCTCCGCTTTCTGCAACACCATCCACAACGAAGATACGGTGACCATCGGGCTGGCTTCGCTTTTGCTAAGTGAGTCCAGCTGGTTCTGATCTGCAAACTCACATTAGTGCGAAACATGACATTTGTTTGCGCAGTATTAGGATTAGGCGAAAGCTCGATTTAATATTTCTTAGAGAGCCCTGAAGCAGTTAGGCGCGATTTGGTTCCTTAACCACATCAGTTCAACTAATCCTTCGATGAAGTATGGTGTCGTTAAGAACGGAACTCTACTGATCTACCCCATTTCATTAGATATGCCTACAGCAGTCAGTACATGCCATTTTCTAAATCGCTTATCCACGGAGAGATAGGACTTATGCTTCTATGCATGGCACTGTTTAAATCGCATCACACCGAATACCGGGTATACTAGAGGTCAGTGAATCTGTTAAAAGCTATAAACCCAATATTTACTAGTGATGATTGCGACGCGAGCACACGAACGAGCTGAAACTTGCTCTGCTAGACGATTGAGAGGCCTTCTGTATATAGAAAGCACAGGATTTCAACGTTTTGTTCATTTGGAAGTCATGACAGGATTTTGCTACTTTTCCGAATAGGCTGACTCACATTTGACATTTTTTCTGCGATTGTGTAAAATAGAGCAATATGCAGACTTCATTAACTGTGACTCGGCTTTTGTTAACTTAAGCAGCATTATCACTACCATTGTATACACCTCAGCTATTATACCGCTATTATTTAGTTCGTTGCCACAAGTTTTTGATTTGACACGTCCGCATTTTGGATTGACAGGTTCTTTCCCGGTCCTTTGGAGAGATGGGTGGCCGTTCCTAGCAATCTCATTTATTATGTGTTTCTTCGCTCAAAGATCTGTCCTGGCATTGAACGACACAGCGAAATCATTTCTACCGCCTCCTTTGCTGAGAACATTCCAGGCATCACGTCAGATGACGAAAGGCACCGGTAAGTTTAACCCCTTGTCAATTTTGACTTGCCTGTAGTTAATCTGTTTGTGTGGTGCTATTTTGAGCTTAAGCTTTTATTGACTGCTTTTAACTTTTCTTCTTTTGGTACCCGGCTAATTTTAGGATATCATGTGGGCAACCTAGCCGATTTTATGGAACTCCGCCTACTTCTCATTCGACGCAACTTTTACTTCTCCTTTGTGTGAGTGTCATCTTGGAATTCTTTGGTGTCTGCGCGTTCAATTGATTTGTGGCACCTTTTGTCGAGGATTGTGATTTTTTTTACTTGGCCTAGCTTACTGATTGACAGGTCTGATCTGGTTTAGCTAGCTTACCGGGACTTCCCATCTGCCTCTCATCTCGCAGCAGTTGTCGTTATCCGAAATTGTTGGTGAACACTGTTCTTTCTTTGCTGAATTGCGTTCCTCCTTAAGAACATTTTGTTCGCCCCATTGCTTCACTCCACAATTGGCTCCTTTTCCTTCGGACCTGTCAGAGAATTATCCCGCACTGGAAATTGCCCGAGGTATTTAGCTACTACTGATTAATGTCTACCAGTAACATATCGGATTTTTCCCTCTTGTTTCGCAGGTGGCTCTGGTTATTCGGTTCTCTGACTAAATTGTTTCTTCAGTCCCTTCCACTGACTTCCAATTCTCATTTACGTTCTTCAATATTCTGTTTTTCTTATCATGAGAACGCAAAGTTTTGCAACCCGGTGCACCACACATAAGCGTTCGGAGCATACTTAACTGTGCTAAGCTTTTAAGGTTTATTGCGGTAACTTTTCTCGTATTAACTTCTTCCATAAAACCGCTACAGAAAATAGAACCTTCTGTTCGATATTTTTGTAGTTGACGGCTTTTCCTTCATATTACCTTCTTCAGGAACGGAACACATTCATTTATGTGTCTTTTTCTAATAGACACCAGGCCGTGGACTGCTCCAGGTGGGGCTAAAAACTTATACTTTTCGATATTATTCTATTTCTTTTGAACTCCTCAGATTATCTTTGATGAGACTCATTATTCCATCCTGCCAACCTGAAGCCTACCGCTGGTAATTTTCTGATGGTCCACCGTCGCAACGACAATAAGGATATTGTCTCGATCATGCACGGCTATCCTACAGCTTGTTTTAAAGACGAGAATGATTCTTGCTAGCTGTCGATCCGAAGTCGGCTCCAATATTCCGCATAAAGTTGACTGAAGCCACGCGAGAAATCGCATTTGGATCACCTACATCTTGCGGTATAGATGAAGGATATCACCGAATCCAGCCGCTCTACATTGCTTCAGTAATGCAGGCTCACATCTGATTCTCTCGATACTGCTAACCTTTTCATCAATAGTCTTTAATGCTTGAAATAATTCGGCGATCAATAGCGACCACGAATTATTCCTCTCATAGTTTCGCTGGTCGTTCTGGTTGGAGTAACTTTCCTCCCCGCTCATGTATGGTTGGTTACCTTTATTGGGCCAGTGATTCGGGCGTGATGATACGATACTTGGCTGCTCGCCATAGCGGAACGAGGCCGACTTTCACTCATACTTTTTTTCCGTTTTACCCACCACTTACATAGGATAATACTGTTGCGTTTCCGCTGACAGCACAGATAGCGAGTACAATTATTTCAAATCCCGTACCATCCACTTCCCAGCTCCTAATAGGCCTCGACATAATCTTCAGTTGAGTCCAGGGAAATACAGCGTTGTTAACAGTCAAAATGCTCAGGTTATATTGTACGACAGAAATAGCAGAATATTCCATTCTGCAAGAACCTAACAAAGGCTAGTGAAACGCTCTCATTGGCTGGCTCCAGTGCGAGGGTGCTGTCATTAGATGACTCTAGCCACCACTATACTTCATTGTACGGTTCCTGTCCGGTGCGCTTCAAGCCGGGTTGGTCCGAGCTTCCGCTGACGCCTGCATGTTAGCGGGCTCGGAAAGCCCTTGTTAACGTGCTCTGTAAACAAATGCATACGAAAAACATGTCATGGTAATCATCGTCTCGACGTTGAGCTTGTGTATAGTGAGATTAATTATTGTTGCAGCAGCGAAAATTTCTCCATGCGAACATACTTCCCGCGGATTTCTTGACGGTGTACGGATCGGGGGATCAGGGATTACCTTCCTGTGTCACCAGACTAACGTGGCTGTACCTACTATGGAATTTGCAAACTTACCTTTCTGGGTCGTTTCAGTGCTCGTTTTGGTCGTGAAATCATCTTGTGGATGGATGTCTATGAGTCGCACGATATTTGACCAGCCAATAAGCACAGTGACTGCTTACGATCACTGCGCGACACTCACGGCCTGATGATCACACGCACACAATTCCCTCTGGGTGCGAATGACATTACTTCTTGGATGCCCTTCGGAGTGGCCACCTGCTCGACTCATCGTACACCAGCCTGAATTACACACGACTCGTGTACTGCGTGAAGTTGTGTGTGGAATCGCACATAGGTTGCTGCGCACCAAATTGCTCAATACAGCTTTGTAAGTCTATGTATTGTTCCGCTGTCTTGAATCGGTGGAAGTTTACCCTTCCCTTTCTAGGTACTTTTTAGAATGGGTGTGCATTGGAGAATGCTATGGTGACGCGCGTTGGTGATGTCGATTCTATCGTTTCAGTTAAGGACCTGTGGTACCACCTCAGGGAGTGGGTGACTTTGCTACTGAGGAGACAATCAGACGTGCAAACCGTAAGCTGCCCCATTGGTTTGATTTCAACAGTGCCACCCATTGTGCATTGGGATCAGAGAAGAATGCAGTATTTTCTGCTCACGTGGAGGATCATAGCAACTCGGAGCAACATCATAAGTTTCGCAGGATTCATCGGCGATTGTCTCAAGAACCGCTACATCAGGAATTCTTGTGGACTGAGAAGACGAAGTAGCTGGTAATTCTATGATTACTTGATGGTAATTTGCCTATGGACTCACCTTGCAGCCGACGAGGGCGTCTGTGATCATTACTTCGTGCACTGCCTGCACCCAGACATCATGCAGAGGTGTCGAATTCATGTAAACAAACGTTCATATAATGACTGGGATACGTTGCACGGGTTGCAACAACAAGATCTAAAGGACGGTCATCCCGACCCTCAATGAAAGCTGAAAGCACCTACTCAGCTGAAAACGGCCACTTTGTTTGTACTTTTGTTAATCGGATACTCTGGAAGGATTGAAAAGCGACGGACCCGCCATGTGCGTCTTACCACTTAGTGGAACGCATTTGGTTTGAGGAACAAGAGCCTCTTAAGCTGAAAAGTGTTCTTGTGCAAACGATGTGCTGACAATTATGGCGTCAGATTCCTGAGCTGCGTTGTCAAGATGGCTGCTCGGATGCTGCCCTACTGTCACTGCGTTTGAACTGGAGGGCTCTGCTAACCTTGAGACGACTCACGATCCGTTATAATATCACACTCAAGATGCAGATTTAACATCGTATAGAAGCATGTGACTCTGTTCCAGATTTAATCAAAGCGAAGCTCATATCTAATTCGAAAATCTACTGTAGAAGCTTTCGGCTTTGAGTCCCACTTCCCATGTTGCCGGTGACATTTTCACAATAGCAATGTTGCACCTCTGTCGGTAAGATAAAAACACAAACCAGTTCTTCCAATATCCTGAGAGATACCGAGATGCTACCAAAGAATTGAGCTTGAATCCAGCATTAATCCTTTTCTGCCCAGGCCATGGTGCCGGATGGGTTCTGACGGATAAATCTGGCCACGCCTCAAAATTGCACACCATTCTGTTGGAGGCCATCAAGTTCGTGTTTGATACAGTACAGGAGGTTAAAACCACACAGGATGAGACAAACCACGATTAAATCTAACGAAATGCGGAATTCAAATATGATAATGGGCAAACTATTTGAACATCTAACTCAAATTGCATCGCATGCACCCCTACTCCAATGATTGCCTAAAGTACACAAACCGCAAATCCTGTTGCGCACGGTCGTTGACACATCTGCGTCCATCTCTTGAAGGGAAAATCCTACTTGGGGTTGTGGATTCGTTAGAACCGACTTGTAAAACACCGTGAGCTCGTGCTCCAAAAGATTCGTAAATTATTCCCATAAAATCAGAAGTTCATAATTGCGCAAAGGATATACTTTTCGATACGTTTCATCAGCTATTTACAACAACAGAGCAACATTCTAAAACCGATTGTTTAATCAAACTTAGGTCTAAACTGGAAGAACCACGAATTCTATACGACTTACCGGCTTAGCACAGTAGCTTATCGATCAATGTCTCAGTCAGTCGGACTAGGCCGTCGCATGAAACACACGGGTGAGGGCAGACAGATCAGCGGTGACAAATGCTGGTCACCTGTCATGTTTAAGATGTGGAAGTCTCACCGGAGCGCTTTCATGGGAATAGTGTGATCAAGACTTCCACCAGCGTCCGTTGTTTGCTCAGTTCTGATTCCAAAACACATGGCTTTAGTTGTGATTAACAGGCGTTTCTTCAATGAGATGGTGTAAATGACTGAAAACTCATTTGCCTTAATCTGGTGTCCCTTCCCATCCAAATGCTCAAGAATAGAACTACTGATGTTCCTTACGGCGCGGCGCCCTTTCGTAGCGACGCAGGACTGTGCTTTTGCGATCACTTTGGACAAACGCCTGGTTGTGTATCCGTGCATCATCATCAATATACGTTAGCTGAAGGTGAGAAACACACCTCATCTACTGTGCTGCAATACAAGAAAGATACAACATTGCATGCTACAAAAGCTGAAAAAGTAACATAATACTAAGTACCGTCCTATTCATTAGGCTTGAGATCGTTGTTGGAGGGGAAAGCTAAAGAAGAGTGGGGGAACAAACGGACTTACAACGCAAGCGTCTTTGATGTCGGCTCCTTGCCATGTTAAATAGTGTATCCAACCAGCCATGTTCATCTTCCTTCGGACCACAGCGCGGCAGTCGGGATACACCAACGAACTCTAACTTCGGAGTAAGGAGTTCCATTCTTCA